ACTACTACTACTACTACTACTACTACTACTACTACTAACTACTACTACTACTACTACTACTACTACTACTGCTACTACTACTAACTACTACTACTACTAACTACTACTAACTACTAACTACTACTACTACTACTACTACTACTACTACTACTACTACTACTACTACTACTACAACTACAACTACTACTTCTACTACACTAATACTACTACTACTACGACTACTACTACTACTACTACTACTACTACTACTACTACTACTATTACTACTACTACTACTACTACTACTACTACTACTACTACTACTACTACTACTACCATTACTACTACGCCGACTACTCACGACGACGACGACGACGACGACGACGACGACGACGACGACGACGACGACGACGACGACTACTACTACTACTACTACTACAACTAATACCACTACCACTACCACTACTACTACTACTACTACTACTACTACTACTACTACTACTACTACTACTACTACTACTACTACTACTACTACTACAACGACGTTGGTTCCAGTTGGGAGATACTGTGGCCACTTTTGCCTGCGCAGGAATGCATTCTCTCAAGGGTTGCGAATCTCTCCAGATCTAACATGATATACCTTTACATGCTACTTTTCATTGAACGGCCAGCGCGGGCCACAGTAACTCCCATCGGGCCGCGCGACGGGCCACACTAACACCCACTGGGCCATACTAACATCCAACGGGCCACAGCAACAGCCGGTCGCGGTTCTGGGTTCCCAGGCTCCCGGGTTCCAGGAGTCTATGACCCTTTCCCCAGGGTGGGTTTCTCATCCCGAGCCGTTTCTGGTCGGTCCTGGGGCCTGCCGGGGACCCCATGGAGGCCGAAAGCGTTTCAAAACCTCCCGCCACGATTCGTTTGACGACGCGAGCATGTCTGGGAGCTCGCCCTCCTTGGGTCATGGTCACCGAGGCGGGTCCGAAAGAAGCCGCAACGCCCAGATCTCAGGGACGGCAGCGTGTCTGACGTGTTCCCTGACAAGTTGCTGTCGCATGGAGCATTTCCTGGACGGTCCGCGCAAAAACGATGAAGGGCTACTGGCCCCGATGAAGGGGCCGTCCAGCCGGAACGGCCCAGATTGAGCCCAGGCTCCCAGGGTCAGACGAGCCTGAGATCCGACGCTGCCCACAACATACAACATCGAGAACGATCACGACCCGAGCCCTACCTCCTCCTCCTCCTCCTCCTCCTCCTCCTCCTCCTCCTCCTCCTCCTCGTCCCCCTCCTCCTGCCCCATTCTCTCGAGCCCGATCGATCTGTGAGGGCCCAGAGGCCCCCAGACCGAGCGAAGACGCCCTGCGCGAGACAAGCTGCGCCGCCCGGTTAGGAGGGGAGGAGGTGGTCTCGACTCGCTCTCCTCAGATCTCAGGGCTTGACTCAGCTCGCTTTCCCACGGAACCCCCGACGCCGTGATTTTTCATGACGTGGACAACCAGCGGTCTCGACGCATCTCGCGGGACCGGCTTTTCATCCCGAGGCGTTCCTTGACGGCCCCGAGGCCCCGCGAGGGCCCCGAAGAGGTTGAACATAGCGAAGCAGACTCCGGCCGCGGTTCTTGTCTTAGGGCCCCGAGGTCGTCTCGGCTCGCCCTCCTCGGATCTCCAGGGCGCGAGCATGTCTCGCGGGGGCGGCAGCGTGCCTGATACGGTGTGGGCATCGGACAAGGAAACCGTAGATAAGGATTCCAGGATCTGAAAGCATGTGAAACACCAATCTGGGCTTGGCCGTGGAAATCACCGCCGCCCTAATCAGGTAAGGAATCTAAGGAATCCTCCAGTGTCTGCAGCCTCCTGGGCGCATTCCTTGACCAGCGCCCCCACCGTATTTCCGCCCCCCGAATGTTTTGTTTACGCAAGAATTATGTAGAGGCCATGGAGCCGGATCGGCCCAGCTTAAGCCCAGGATCTCCCAATCAAAGGCGGTTGCCTCGACTCGTCCTCCTCGGACCTCGAGGACTGTCTAAGCTCACCCTCCCCAAACCCCCAACGTAAGGATTCTCCAAAACGTTAACTCCCAGAAGACTCGATCCATTAACAGTACCCCGTGTTTCCATCCCGAAATGTTTCGTGACGGCCCTATATAGGCCCCGCAATGGTTGAAAACAAAGACAAACCTCCCGCTCTGTTCACGACTCGAGGGGGTATGTGCTCTCAGGGGCTGTGTCGGCTCGCGCCCCCCCTGAAATCCGACATCGCAACAAACCTGCAACGTCGCAGCAGATCACGACCAGAGCCCTAGACCCCGTCCTCCCAAGCCATCCCTTGAACCCGATCGGTGAGCGAGGGCCCCAGGGCCTGAGACCCGACGAAACCGCTCGGCTCGGAATAACTCAGACGCCAGGGCCCCAAACACGACTCGAGGGGTTCTGGGCTCTCAGGGCCCGTCTCAGCTCGCCCCCCCCCGCGTCGCCATCACCGAGGCGGCCTGGGCGGCCGCTGGCCGGCCCCGCGGGACGCGCAAGCCGAGGGCCAGCTCGCCGCCGAGGGCCGTGCGCTTCCGGGGGCTCGCCGCGGGGCCGCGGGCGCTGGCGGCGGCAGCGTGGGCGGCGGCGTCGGCAACGACCTGCTGGGAGGACGCAAGAAGCAACAGTTCGCACTTGCGTTTGTATGGGATTTGTGCCCAACCATCCTGCGTCGGCTTCTAATGTTGATTGGGGCACTGCGGTCGCGACCTTCTCTTCCCCGCCTCCTTCCTCCCCACCTCCCCCCTCTCACCTGCCTGCCATCCTGCCTCCCGCCCGTTCTTCTTAATCGAAACCCTACGATGGGCTTTTCACCTTCACACAGATTCGCACTCAGACGCGCCCGCACTCAGTTGTCACGGCGCCGTCTTGCGAGGACGAGAATGCCCGAGAAATCCCCCCAAAAAGTATTTGAAGCAAGAACAATACGGCGGTGTGTCGCTGTGCTCGGCCTCAACAAGCCTTCGACACGCCCTAGTGCCGCCATGAAACGGTCAAGGATGGAAAGCCGTTCCTGGGGACAGGGTCTAGATATCGCAATGAAAATCACTCCGACAGTAGGACCCCGCATTGGAACCTCCCAAACGAACCTGGAAGTAAACCTCATCGTCGCCCGTGTGAGTGCGGAGGCTCTCTTCCCGTCCCCTCATCGCCGTTGTTCCTTTCGCCCTGACGGAAGCCTTTTTCCCGCCCCTCGCTCTGCCCTACTCTCGTTTTCCTCCTTCTTTCCCCCAATCCACCTCCTCCCCCGCCCCTTTGGCCCGGGCGCGCAAGCACATGTTCCTCGGCGCCGTTGCCGCCCTGGCTGGTACGGGCGCGATCTCCGATGGCCAAATCGCGAAGCCGCTTGGGCGACCCCGTGGGCCAGGCCGTTGGGGCAACTCCACAAGCCCCACGGGCGCGGGAACAAATCGTTGGCACAAACCCGCAGGTTTCGAGCTAGTCGCGGCCGCGCGCAGGCGGGAGGCAACGGACAGACCAGCTCTGCCGCGAGCTGCTCCGCTTCAGCCTTGGAACTCCCCGCTCTCGTGTCGAAATCCATGAGCACCTTCCGCAAGGAGTAGGTGGCCCGCGATCCATGAACTCTCGCGTGGGCGGCCGCGGGATCAGAATGTTCCCCATGCAGTTTTTCGCCAGTCACTCACAAACGAGGCCCCCGCTCAATAATTCCGCCACTTTCAAGTTTCAAGAAGTTCGGGTTACCAAAGTGCGCTGCGGGCCCCATAGAAACGAGGCTCTCGCCTGAGACATCCTCGCGTTTCATGCAAAGACGACGCTCCCGCCACAGACGTCCTCAATCCTCAAGCTCCGAAGAGTCAAAATTGAAAGCAACCACACGGTTCCGATGATCCACTTTAATTAATAACATGAATTGCGGACCCCATAAAGAGGGGGCCTCAGCCGGAGACTTCCTCGCAATTCACTCACAGACGATGCTCCCGCCAGAGACTTCCGCCGCATTCAAGCCTCAAGAGGCCAAGAATCACGACTGCTACAAGGTCCCGACGACCCGCCCGGATGGGTTACATGAGCTGCGGGCCCCGTAAGGAAGGAACTCCCGCCCGAGACTTCCTCACCATTCTATCACAGAGGACGCTCCTGCCAGAGACTTTGTCCATGCTCAAGCATCTAGAAACCCAAACTGACGACAATCACATGGACCCGATGACGCGCTCGGATTACTAACATGATTCGCAGGCCCCATAGGAGCGGGGGCCCCGCCTGAGACTTCCTCGCAATTCACTCGCACACGAGGCCCCCGCCAGAAACTTCCGCCATATACGACACGGCGGAACCTAAAAAATGACAACAGGCACAGGGCCCCGATGACCCGCCAAAATTAATTACATGATCTGCGGGCCCATAAGAAACCCCCGCCGGACACCCCCTAGGTATTCGCATTATTCTTAGTGTATTGCTTAATGATTTGAAGAAGCAACAAAAAAAACGATGACTTCCCGGCGATCCATGCGCGACGACGTTGCGGGGGCGCCCTTCCTGCGCGGGCGCGTCCACAGACAACGTGTTGTGGAGATGCCCGCGATGACGCTGACCGATGACCATCGTGGGATGATGAAAGTGATGATCGATGATGACGGCGCGATGGTGACGGCGATGGCGAGCATCCGAACATGGCACGGTGATGGCGCGGGTGACGCCATGGCGCGCGCGATGCTGACTGCGGTGGCGATGGCGGCGACGGCGACGGCGACGATGACGACGCTGCCGGTTGCGATGGCAACTGCGTGACTGAGCGCGGGAAACGATTTAAAAAAAACGATGAAGATGATGATGGGACCGTGAAGACGATAATTTCGCTGCGTTGACGACGGCGACGACGACGACGACGGCGACGGCGAGGGAGAGGATGAAGAGGAGAAAAGATCCCGCGCGGGGGGGGCCAGGAAATGCCAACCCAACGCTCAAAACGTCGGATCCCAAGGACGGCGACGCGCAGCCCAAATCTCTGCGTCTCCGTCGCGCGCCTCCCGCGGCGTCTCCGACGCGCGCGTTCGTCCGCCCGTGCGTCCGTCAGGCCGTCTGTCCGTCGGTCCGTCCGTCCGTCCGTCAAACCGTCCGCCCGTCCGCCCGTCCGCTCGTCGGTCCGTCCGTCCGTCCGCCCGTTAGGCCGCCCGTCCGCCCGTCCGTCCGCCCGTCGAATCCTTCTGCCCGTCCGTCCGTCAAGCCGTCCGTCCGTCGGTCCGTCCATCCGTCCGTCAGCGCCGCCCGCCCGCCTGGCCGCCCGCCCGTCGGCCCGCCCGCCCGCCCGTCCGCCGGGCCGCCCGCCCGCCCGTCGCGCCGCCCGAAGAGCATGCGCTGCTAGGCCACGGGGGCGCGGCGCGTTTCTTCGACCGCGGCCTCCGCGCGGCCGGCCGCGTCGCTGGGGGCCGCGCCCGGCGCGACCGTCGCCGCCCCGGACGTTCGCGCGAAGATCTGGAAGCGACCCTGGCGAGGGGGGGGGGAGGGGGGGGCGGGGGGGGGGGCAAGGAGGAGAGAAGATGAAAAGAAAGAAAGGCGCAGGGAGGGGAAACCGGGCAAAGGAGAGCGGGGAGGGGCGGGAGGGGGCGGCGGAGGGCTGGGGCAGAAAAGTGGGGGGGGGGGGGGGGGGGGGGGGGAGGGGGGGGGGGGGGGGGGGGAGGGGGGGGGGGGGGGGGGGGGGGGTGGGGGGGGGGGTGGGGAAGGGGGGAGGGGGGGGGGGGGGGGGGGGGGGTGGGGGGGGGGGTTGGGTGGGGGGGGGGGTGGGGGGGGGGGGGGGGGGGGGGGGGGGGGAAAGAAAAGGGGGGGGGCGAGGGTGCTGAAAAAAGCTGCCCTGCGACCCCCGCGCAGCTCGTACCCATCGCCGCCAAGCGACGCCGAACCACCGTCGGCCGCGCGGCCCATGCCGGGCCGCGCGGCCTCGAGGCGGTTCGCGCGGGCACCCCGCGCCGTCCGCCGCGAACCAATCGGGGCCCTGGGGCCACGGCGTGGCGGGGCGCTCGCAATGCCAGCGAGCAAGGCGCGAGGGGGCGGGGGGGGGAGGGCGAGGAGGGAAAAAAAGAACAGGGACGTACGGGCGGGGGAAGTGAAATGGCGGGGGCCGGACCCATAGAAAGGGGAGCGGGATGGGGGGGGGTGCGGAGGGCGCAGGGAGGAGCATGGGGACGAATGGGAGAGGAGGAGGACGAAAGGATGGGGGGGCGGAGGGCGCGCCCTCCACGGCCACCTCCTCGACGGAGCGGACCGGGACGGGGGGGGGGTGGGCGAAGGGGGGGGGGGGGGGAAGAGGGTGAGTCCTGGAAGTCCGACGCGACCTTCGCGCCGTCCTCGGCCTTCCTGTCGCAGCCGCCAAAGCGGGAATCGCCGAGCGCGCGCGTGGGAAATTCGCGCACGAGGTCGTCGTGCACTGCAATTCCGCCAACGGCGGCGACGACATCCACCGCGGACTTCGGCTCGTCAGAGCAGAGCGAGTAGAGACGCTGGAAGGCGGAAGGCATCAAGGTGAAGGAGTAGTAATGGCGGAGAATGGAAGCGAAATGGTTTGAGAGCAGCGTGAGCCCAGATGCTTACGCAGGGTGGGGGAGGGTGGAGGGTGGACAAGGGCCGGAGGACGATGGATGATGGTGGGGGAAAGCATATGAAGGCGAAAGGCGTGGGGCACCCCGGAACAATGCTTGACGGTCGCAGGGCCCGAAAACGGGCCCCCAAAGGCAGAAGCTATTTTTCCCAAGAGTCTAAGCCAGAGGGCCTCGGACCCTGCCCCCCCCCTCTCCCGTCTTGCTCCCTGTGGCCAAAGCTGGGCCACCTCAGACCCCCAACTCCAAGGCAAGCGTGCGCAGACAGTGAGAGGCACGCGGATTTTGTTTCCAGCGCCCCTCCAAACGATCCGCGCGGTCCTCCGAGAGTGCACGCTTGGCGCTGCAAGGATCGCGCGCAACACCGAGCCGCAAAAAGCACACTATCCCCCAACCTCGAGTTTCCTCCGTGACGCTCTCCCTGTAGGGCGATCCCCCTGCGAGGGATTCCTCTGTGCACGCCATCCCGCTGCCAGGGCTTCCTCCGTGCACGCTATTCCCAAGGTGGGGGATAGTGTGTAAGAAGCGGGCCCGCGGCGCCACATCGCACGATGTCTTTGCAACGCCAATCGTGTGATTGCGCATTTGTGGGAGGAACGAAAACAATGCCGATGACACGCCGCCGTGCGGTACCCGTCAGCGAATTACTGTCGATGAGAAGCACTCGGTCTTCAAAAGAAAACAAGGGAGTGACGCGCTGACGGGCTCTCAAACGGCAGGGTGCCATTCTTGCTGCGTTTCCCTTCCGAGTTCCTTGAGATCCAACATTGCGACAAAAACTGCAACATCGCGAACTAAGCCGGATCAAGCTAAATGAAGCGGGATCGAGCAGAACTACGGATTGTGCCGCATTAGGCTGGCTCTCCAACACGGCCAGAAATTTCAGCGCCGATGCTTAACAAGTGGCACGTGTGCCATGGCTCTTGCACAAAAAGGAAGGGGGAGGAGGAGGATGTGGAGGAGGAGGGGGGGGGGAGAGGATGCCAGACATCGCAGAAGGAGTGAATCATCATCACCATCACCATGACCATGACTATCACCATCACCATCACCATCACTACCACCATCATCATAATTCTCCTCCTCCTTCTCCTCCTCATCATTATCATCATCAATCACCAGTCATCAAGCATATGTCACCCCTGCGCCATCCCTCCTCCTCCTCCTCCCCTCATTTTCCCTCCTCCCCCTCGGTCCCATCCTCTTTCTTCTCCTCCTCCTCCCCCTCCTCTTCCTCCTCCTTCTCCACCTCCTCCTCCGCCTCCCTCTCCTGCTCTCTTCTCCGCCCTCCTCTCCCTTCCTCTTCATAATCATCCCCCTCCTGCTCATCTTCCTCACTCCTCCTCCTCCTCCTCCTCCGGCCCGTCCCTCCTCCCCCCACCCTCCTCCCTTCGCCCTCCTCCCTCGTGCCTCCTGCCTCCTCCCTCACCCCTCGTCCTTCCTCCTTCCTCCTTCCTCTCCGCCGCCATCCTGTATCTTCCCTCCTGCCTCTTCCTCCTCCTCCTCCTCCTCCTCTTCCTCCTCCTTCTCCTCCTGACTCACCAGAACGCATCGCCCAATTGTCGGCGGCTGCGGTGAGACTCCATCCAGGGGCCCCGTCCGCTTTAGCCGTTCCTCCTCCCTCCACTTCCCCGGTCCCTCTCCTCCTCCTCCTCCCCCTCCTTCTCCTCCCCCTCCTTTTTCCTATTCCTCTTCCTCCTCCTTCTCCTCCCGTTTCCCTCCGCCCTCGTCCTCATCCGTCTGGCCTCCTCCTTCCTCCCTCCTCCATCCTCCCTCCTCCTTCTTCCCTTCCTCCCTCCTCCCTCCCTCGTCCCTCCTGTTCCTCCTGACTACAACGCATCGCCGAATTGTCGGCGCCAGCGAGGAGCGGGGGGGGGAGGGCGAGCGGGCACCGCGCCGGTGCCGCGCCGAAATCCGAAGAGAATTCTGGGTACAGCCCTGAGATGTAGAGGGTCTGTGCCCTTGCTGATGCAAGCAGGAATGTAATTTCGTAATGTCCCGGATCCCCAGTTTCTTGTTGCTGCTGCAACCAGAATTGCAATTTCGTAATGACCCGGATCCCCGATGTCCTAAGCGTTTTGTGGCGCTCGTGTGTTACTTCGCGAGGGCGGAAAGAAGATGGGCGGGGCGGAAGGAAACCATACGGAGAAGGCCCCGCTGAGGCCGCGGGGAACACTGGGGGGAAGGGGCGAAAGGGGCGCACCGGGGCAGGAAAGACATTGGCCGGGCACTGGGGCCGCGGGGCACTGGACGGGCGCTGGAACCGTGGGGGCGCTGAGACGGTGTCCGGGAAGGGGCGGAGCAGGGAGGGGCTGCGGTGCCGAAATAAAGTGGGCGGGGCGGAGGGGGCGCTGGGCGAGCGCTGGAGCCGTGGGGGGCGCTGAGACGTGTGGGGGAGGGGGCGGAGGATGGGGGGGGGTTGTCGGGGCGGAGGGGGCACTGGGCGGGCGCTCGAGCCGCGGGGGAGCGCTCAGACGGCGCGGGGGAGGCGGCGGGGCGCGGGGGGGGGGGGTCGGTGCCGAAATAAAGTGGTCGGGCGGAGGGCACTGGGCGGGCGCAGGAAACCGCGGGGTGCGCTGAGACGGCGCGGGGAGGAGGGCGGAGCGGGAGGGGGGTCGCGGTGCCGAAATAAAATGGTCGTGCGAGGGGAGACAGGACGGGCGCTGGAGCCGGCGGGGGGGCTGCTGAGACGGCGCGGGGGAGGGGGCGGAGCGGGGAGGGGGGGTGCGGTGCCGAAATAAAGTGGTCGGGGCGGAGGGGGCACTGGGCGGGCGCTGGAGCCGCGCGGGGGCGCTGAGACGGCGCGGGGGAGGGGGCGGAGCGGGGAGGGGGGGTGCGGTGCCGAAATAAAGTGGTCGGGGCGGAGGGGGCACTGGGCGGGCGCTGGAGCCGCGCGGGGGCGCTGAGACGGCGCGGGGGAAGGGGCGGAGCGGGGAGGGGGGGTGCGGTGCCGAAATAAAGTGGTCGGGGCGGAGGAGGCACTGGGCGGGCGCTGGAGCCGCGGGAGGGCGCTGAGACGGCGCGGGGGAGGGGGCGGCGCGGGGGAGGGGGTGCGGTGCCGAAATAAAGTGGTCGAGGCGGAGGGGGCGCTGGGCGGGCGCTGGAGCCGCGGGGGGGCGATGATGATGATGATGATGTGTATGATGATGATGATGATGATGATGATGATGATGATGATGATGATGATGATGATGATGATGATGGTGATTATGATGGTGATGATGGTGAGGATGATGGTGGTGATGATGATGATGATGATGATGATGATGATGATGATGATGATGATGATGATGATGATGATGATGATGATGATGAGATGAAGAAGGGGGGGGGGGTGCGGTGCCGAAATAAAGTGGTCGGAGCTCTAGACACCCTGTGCAAGAGAATTAACCTCCCAGTACTTGAATCCTACGGTCAGGAACTTTGGCTTAGCGTGTCGCGCCGCAGGTTCTGGCCCACCGCGCTTCGGCGCCACAAGCTATCCGCATCCCAGTCCCCAGGCGTCAACGTCCCGAGCCTGTTCCAGGCTCCCGCCCCGCGGAGCGGAGCGACACGCCATCCGCTCGCAGGGCACAGCGTGGTCTCCGGGGCCGGCGCCGCGACACGCTAAGCACAAGCTCCGTACAGTAAGTTGCCCTCCCTCGAGACCTGCCGCTCGCCCCGGGCGGAGGCGGGCCCTGCAGAAGGCGCCACGTCCGATGGGGCCGCTCGGCGGCCGCTGCCGCTCTTCGGCAGCGCCGCCGCGGCCTCCTCCTGGTCGCGGAGCGCGTGGGCCCTGCGGACCTTGTCGCGGTAGATCGCGAGGTAGAGCCGGTGGTCGGCTTCCTCCTCGCGCAGGCAACCCCGAAAACCTGGCGTTGCGTTTGGCCCACACGGGGCATCTTCGCCTGGCTCAGGGCCCTGGGGCCCTCACAGATCGACCCGGCTCGAGAAGTGGCGCAGAAGATGGGGTCGATATGCGAGGCTGGCATGTATCCATATCCGCTGCCTGGGCACCGACGTCCTGGTGCCCCAGCGGGCGGTGGATATGGATGCATTTTAGCCCCCGCGGGCCCGAATATATCCATATCCACCCACCACCTGTGGACGTCCGCAAAGACCAATCCCCCAGGCGGTGGTTATGGATAAACTCCCACATCGGACTATAGGGCTCCAGTCGTGATTGCGAACGACTTCTTATTCGGTGTTTCGACATTGGACAGAAGCGAGAAGGAGGGGGGGTCTGGCTCCGAACCTCTGCTCAATGCGACTGCTTGCAACAGCGCGTCCTCTGGGGGAGACTCCACCTGCTCAAAACAGGCGCCAAAAACAGCCAAGATCTGCTCCATGGGCGGGGTGCGAGGGCCCGCGCCGATCGGCGAAACAATGAATGAGAAAACGATCACCTAGGTCGGGCATGTCCTCCTACAGGAGGATTTGGGATGCTTATTCATTTTTCACCGACAAAACATGATCCAACATATAAAAAGAGCACGGCAGAGCGTCAGTCTACAATTTTTGTTTTACTATTATTGCATGCTCCTCCTGTAGAGGGACACTTGCCCGACGTAGCCTTCGTCGCGATGCTGCCTTTCTGTTCGCCACGCCGGCCCTCAGGGAAGGCCCCCCGGGCTCTGGCGGCAGGCTGTTTCAAGAGAGCCCCGGCGGCTGCTCCTTCACCTCGGGGCCCCCAAGGGGGGGGGGGGGGGCCGCTCCTGGGCCCCCCGGGGGGCCATCGGCCACGAGTCAGGGTCGAGAATCGCCAGTCAAAACGTGCATTCATTTTTTTTTGGGGGGGGGGGCCTCAGGGGGGCTCCAGGGGGCACAATTCGCTTAACGGCAACCCAGTTTCGCTTCCTCGCCGGCGCAGTGACTCTGCCTAGCCGCCGACACATGGGGTGCGAGTGAAATGGGGTCGGAGCATCGCGCTGCATCGCCGAAGCATATGCGATGCATCGGCGATGCATCGGCGATGCGTCGGCGATATGTCGGCGATGCGACGGCGTAGAGAAAGTCGGGCTCCGCATCGAGCCGCATCGGCGAATCATCGGCGATGCATCGGCGATGCGGCGCGATCCTCCGACCCCGTCCGCTTCGACCCCATCTGGGAGGCCTAAAATTGAAGACCGGTGGTTAGGACGCAAGACCCTTGGAGTCCGAAGTTTGGATTTTTTGGGGAGGCGGGCGACCAGCGAAAACGGCAGAGGACGGGCTGCAGAGGCAAGGACACAAGGGTACCCTAGATAAAGGCGCGCGTCCGGCGCGTTGACTGCACCCCTGGGGAAGGGGTCGAGAGTCCCGGGGCCGCGCGTGGAAAACAACAAATCGAAGCACGTCTGGGGAAGGGGTCTGCCAAGAGAGCCGACGCTCCGGGCAAATTGGAGCGGGCGGTTTTTACCGTTTTCGGCCTCTGGGGGTCCTCGCTGGGGCCGGCGGTGGGGCTCGGGAGCGTCAACAAACGACCCAGGACGAAAAACCGGCCCTGGGGAGGTGGTCCGGACCTCCAGGTGCCACGCATCGAAAAAGTTGGAGCAGCCGGATATGTCTGGATGTTTAGCGCTTGGGTGGGACGAGTCCCCCCCGGCGATGGCCACGAGGCCCGAGTACACCCTGCGAAATGCTTAAGAAATCATGGGTTAAGAAATTCATAGTCTCAGAATTGAAGTAAAACCCAGAATTTCCCTCAAAATCTTAGGGATTAAATCGAAACATCAAGAATAATCGAGACTCTGGCTGAAAACTTAGGTTTTCTTGAGCATCGCCTAAGGTGTACTGAGCTAACTCATTGTGGCCCTGAACCGGCAGTTCCACGGCTGATTGGCGAGGTCAGTGCTCGGGCGGGTCCAGTGGCACTGAAGCAGAACTCCTGGCAGCCCAGCGCTTACACGAATGTTTTTCTGCTCGGCAAGAAGTAGGACGAACACGAAGCCAGGACCAGGACAAAATCGGACCAGGGAAGATCGAAGATCTCTGACGTCTCCTGGTTCTGGAGAATGCATCGGGCGCCGCGGCCGTTCCATTGAGCGCTCCGGAACGCTCTCCCAGACCCCCGAAATCATCGGCCGTCCCATTGAGCGCTCCGGAACCCTCTCCCAGACCCCCGAAAGCATAATTGCTCATGCCGTCGACCCACTTCCCCAGGACCAGCTTTTCCTCCTGAGTCGATTTATGACCGTCCCAGGCTCCTGGCCGAGGCCCCGGGGGGGCCCGTGCATGTGGCTCAATGGCCAACGACGACCCTGGCCGGGGCACGGTGCCAGCACCCCCTCGCGCCACGAAAGAGTTACGATGGGAGGTTTTCTGCGTTCTCGGCCTCTGGGGGCCCTTACCGGGCGTCGGGACCGTCAAGGAACAACTCGGGATGACAAACCGGTTCTGATGGGGAAGGTTTTTCGCCGTTTTCGGCCTCTGGGGGCCCTTACCGGGCGGCGAGACCGTCAAGGAACGACTAACTGGTCCATGGAAGGTTTTTCGCCGTTCTCGGCCTCTGGCGGCCCTTACCGGGCGTCGGGACCGTCAAGAAACGACTCGGGGTGAAAAACCGGTCCTGATTGAAGGTTTTTCGCTGTGTTCGGCCTCTGGGGGGCCTGACTGGCCGTCGGGACCGTCAAGGAATGACTCGGGGTGAAAACCTGGTCCTGATGAGAAGTTTGTCGCTCTTTTCGGCCTCTGGGGGGCTGGGGCAAGGGCCAGGGACGAACGACGACGAACACGACGAAGATAAAGACGTCCAGGGCGAGGAGGGGGGGAAGGCAAGGGCCAGAGGGGGGCTGGGACCAGTGCCTGGGAGGGGGGGGGGGCTGGACCCCTGGCCAGAAACGAACGGCGACGAACACGACAACCGAGGGTCTGGGGCGAGGGCCAGAGGGGCCCCCGCGGCGTCGGGACCGTCGAGAAACGGCCCGGGATGTGAAACACCGGTCCTGACGGAATGGGTCGAAGCCTCGGGGGGCCGACGCTCCCACAAGAAGGAGGAGGAGGAGGAGGAGGAGGAGGAGGAAAAAGGAGGAGATCTCCGCCGTCGTGCTCGGCTCGCGGCGTGGACTTCCACCCCTTCCCCAGGGGCGGATCTGCAATCCGAGCCGCTCGACAACGGCCCCGCGGGGCCCAGCGAAGGCCGCTGGAGGCCGAGGGCCATACCTCGGACCTCCGACGGCCGTTCGGTTCGATCCGGGCACCCCCGGGAACGCCCCCGGCGAGCGACTGCAGGAGAGCCCCCCCGAGGCTGGGGAAGACCCCTTTGGAAAGCAACGCCCGAACAGTTCGGTCTCGCCGATCCTCCCCCGGCAGTTGCCCGGCGTCCGCCGCGGCCGGCCCTGACCTGAGGGGGAAAGATGCGGTCAGGTCGGGCATGTCCTCCTACAGGCGGATTTGGGAAGAAAGATGAAAAAGATTCGACCAATGTTCGAATATTACTTGTTCTACTATATCATAGTAGAACAAAGATCGGCGGTGAACAAACCTCCCTTTAGCAAACCACCCTTTAGTGAAAACGGCCTGGGACCGAAACCGACGGACCTGGACCCGCAGAACTGAGGGCCGCGCGGCCCTCTCGGGAACCCAAGAACGGCACATCCACGAATCGACGTGCCAGGGCAGAAGGCCGATCCCTCCCCGGAAAGCATGGCAGCATCGCCCCGTGGACTGGTTTTGTACACATCCCTCCTGTGGAGGGACACGCCCGAGACTTTACAGAGAGGGGCGGAGTGGCTCTCCGGGAGGAAAAAAACACAGCGACCTACGGTGGAGGATTTAGACAAGGATACCTTCGATAAGGAACCCAGGGTCTCGCGACCGACGGGCGGCCAAACGTGGGCCACCCACCTCGCCTTGAAAAGATAAGGAATGCGCGAGGGTCTGGGCCCCAGGAAGACGATCCTCATCCAATGCCGCCGCCGTATGGGACCAGCGAGGCGCGCAGCCCTTCCCACGCAGGTCGGCGCCCGAGGCCCCCGCCGGCGGGAGGCCGCGCGGGCCATCCCCGGGCGGGTGGGGCCGTCGGGCCCCGGCGGCGAGGAGCGATCACTGCACTTGAGCGGGGGCCGACCGTCCTGGCATTCCCATAGGCCTACCAAGAAATGTTCTTAGGACCGACTAACCCAGACCCCCTCGAGTCATGAAAAAATCACGACGGGAGGTTTTTCATTATTTTTGGCCTCCGGGGGCCCTTACCGGACCTCGGGACCGTCAAAAAACGACTCCGGACGAAAAACCGGTCCCGGGGAATGGGTCCAGACCGCTGGGGGTCGACGTCATGAAAAATTCATGACGTCGGGGGTCTGGGAATGTTCTAAGAACCACAACAGTGTTCTTATAACATAAGCCCGATGTCTCCAGACGAGAGAGACTCAGCCAGAAATGTTCCAAGAGCATTGCGTGCAGACCACAGAAGGAATTAGAACATTCCTTGGTAGACCTATGGGCGAGCTAGGACGCTTCGCCACTGCTTGATGCACCGACCTGGCAGACGTGCTGCAGCGGATGTGTTCGTGGAGTTCTGTCCCTGCAAAACCCCGACACGGCGAGTGAGGGTCGAAGCGAACTTCGCGTGGATCTCTGTTAGTCTTCATTCCTGGCCAGAGAAAATCCGCACGAAATTAACCTCGAAATCCACAACGAAATCCTCCAGGACACTCCAGGCCCATCCTATGGTTTTCCGAAAGAAGTCCGCTCTGCGATGCTGGTGCCATGAGAATGCGCGAGCGGGGGTCGGCCCGGACATCCGATGTCTGGACTATGTCATGACGGGGCCCCCTGAAATCACGACCCTTTCTCCCGGGCCGGCTTTTCACCCCGAGCCAACTTTTTCGGACGGTCCCAGAGCCTGGCGAGGGACCTCGGGCGCCGAAAACCGGGAACAACGAAACCGGCGTGATTTTTGCCACGACGCGGGCACGTCTAGGGGTGCATCATTCTCTGAGCCTGCCCTGAGATCCGACGCTGCGGAAAAGATGCCGCGACAAACATCGACTGGAGCCCTAGACACCGTTTCTGTGGCACCTTTCTGGCCAGATCGATCTGTGATGGTCCTGGGGCTCGACACGAGGCAAGACCGCCCGGTGTGAAACAATCAACTGCAACGACCTGATCTCAGGAAACCTCGCCCTTCTGCGGCTGCCCGCGCCAGGGGGCACGAGAACGTTCTGCGTCCGTGGCAGTGGCGCACTCGTCCCGGCGACAGTCCACTCCGCAAGTTCTCGCGGCTGTGGCGACATGGACACAGGTTGTGGCAGTCTTGCTGCTGGACCTACGTGCCTCGTGATTGGTGTCAACTGTCTAGCAGACATCGCAACCCTTCATCACGACGCCGACGACCGGCAGTGGGGCGGCACGAACTGGTTGCGGTGCCAGTTCACGCGGCCCGCCTGAGATGTGGACGCCAGCGCGCAGATCTCGGGCGCCGGCGCGGGCGACGGCGGCCCAGGGCGGGCACCGCCCGTCTGCGACGACGACGACGACGATGACCGCGGCGACAAGGACGACAAGGGGCGGTTGTGTGTAGAGTGTCTGGGGGTCCTGGGAAACCCCCAGGGGCCTCCATGAACGCCAGAATCTGGGGGGCAGTCTCGCGTTCGGTCCTCGACCCTCGGCCACAATTTCCTCGGCGGCGCCACCTGCGTCCCCCATCCTCCTCATATTCCGCCCACTCCCTCCTTCTCCTCCTCATCATCAAACATCCTCCACCTCCCCCTCCTCCTCCATCCATCCATCCATCCATCCATCCGTCCAGCCATTCATCCATCCACTTCCATATTCCATCCCCAACACTGCTCCACCATCTTCATCCTCTTCCTCCTCGACTCCAAATTCTCGTCCTCCCCCTCCTCCTGCATCCTCCTGCCCCTCCTCTTCCTCCTCCTCCTCCTCCTCCTCCTCCTTCTCCTCCTCCTCCTCCTCCTCCTCCTCCTCCTCCTCCTCCTCCTCCTCCTCCTCCTCCTCATCCTCCTCCTCCTCCTCCTCCTCCTCCTCCTCCTATCCTCGATCCCCCCCCATCCTCGGGGGCGGCGGCCTCCAGCTGTGGCGCCCATTGCACCGCGCCCGGGGGGGCACAGGTGCTGGCGCGGGCGCCCGGCCGCGCCATGGCGGGGTCCCGCGCCCGCCCGGAGGGTGGGGGCGGGCCCTGCGGGCGAGCCGGAAAAGGAGGATGGAGGATGGATGGAGGATGGGCGGGGAGGGAGGGTGGAGAGTGGAGGAGGAGGAGCTGGGAGGACTGAGGATGACAGAGGATGCAAGAAGGGGGAAGAGGAGCATGGAGGAGGGCCGAGGGGGACGGAAGAGGACACGAGGGAGACAAAGGACAGGATGGAGGAGGAGGAGGAGGAGGAGGAGGAGGAGGAGGAGGAAAAGGAGGAGGAGGAGGAGGAGGACGAGAGAGAGGAGGAGGAGGAGGAGGAGGAGGAGGAGGAGGAGGAGGAGGAGGAGGAGGTGGAGGGGGAGGAGGAGGGGGAGGAAGAGGAGGAGGAGGAAGGAGATAGGAGGAGGAGGAGGAGGAGGAGGAGGAGGATGGAAGAGGAGAATGGAGGATGAGGAAGAAGTGGGGGTGGAGTTGGTGGAGCAAGGTCGGGGACGAAGGATGGAGGAGTCCCACAAGCCCTCTGGGCGTGTGTGGTTAGGGAGCTTCATCTTCCAACCTCCGCTTTTCCCTTCGTGGAAATATTGAATACTGTTTCTCATAATTTGCACCCCCTCCCCCCCAGAATGGCGACAAACCCGGAACAATGCGCCCCCCCCGCCACACCTGACATACAATAATATGTTAGCATGGGCCACAAACGCCGTGTTTCTATCATGCTATGTTGCGCGGTGAATGTGGTGCAACCTATTATGCGCAATCTACGTGATGTAAAACATGTGGTCCACTCTGTGCGGTACACTTAATTGTTGCTCCCAGTGAACTGTGAACTCCACTGCTCGCGCAATCATCCCACCTACCCGCCATCAACTTGGTTTACAAAATCCATGCGGCGGCGATTGCGGTGACTGGTGGGTGCCTGGCGCATCGGCGCGGCCGCGCTAGCGCGCAGGCTCGCGCGCAGAGCTAGCCTGGCGCAACCGATGCGGCCGCGGTGGCGCTGACCGCTAGACACGTCCCAGCGCGTCTCGCAGGCCGCGCTGACGCGCGGGCAAATCAGAACGAGACGGCGACTCCGGCGGGCGCGGCATCATGGCGACGTCGAACATGGCACCTCTCAGGGCCCTCTTGGGCCGTTTTGGGGCTCTCTTGGGCAAGCTTGGGGCCGCCTTGGGCCCCTCGACCGCCTCGCTCGCACATGCTGCCGATGATTCCGTAGAGAGGAGGAGGAGGAGGAGGAGGAGGAGGAGGAGGAGGAGGAGGAGGAGGAGGAGGAGGAGGAGGAGGAAAGGAGGAGGAGGAGGAGGAGGAGGAGGAGGAGGAGCAGCGGGGTTGGCGCCCAGTCTTCCCAAACGCATGCCGCCCGGCATGGTCAGCGCAGATGGCGCCGCTGCCCACCCTTCTCGCGCCCGTGGCCCCCAGCGCTATACCGCTGATTTGGCACCTCGGGGCCCTTCTCGGGGGGCGCCTCTTGGAGCCCTCTGGGGCCGTCTTGCGGAGCTGTGGCACCGCCTGAGAGCCATGCCGGCGACCTCTTGGACCGCCTGAAGGCGTCCCGGGCTATCTGGGACAGGTTCGCAGCCCGCCAGGGCCCGCCATGCCCGCCGGGGGCGACTTGGGCCACTTCCGCCGCGTCCGGGTGCCCACCCTGCTGGCACACGGCTCCCCTGGCGTCGCAGCTGAGCACGCCGGGCTGCAGCTTCGTCTTCCGTATCTCGCCGAACAGCGCCCAAACACTCTGCCAACCACTGCTCGCCCTTCCCGCACGCGCTGATCCCAGCGCTGTAGCAGATAGGGCGACCCCGTGGACGTCGTCCACGACCAGCAGGTCCCCCTGGCGCGCCTCCACGTTGGGCCCCCGCCCGGGCAACAGTCACCCCGAAGCCTTCGGTGACTTTTTCGGGCCGCCTTTCCGAAGTTGGAAGGCGGGCGCTTCATCCTCTTCGTCCGCCTTCCGGTCCACTCCGCCTGGACACCCTGCGGAGCGTCACAGACGGCTATGATGGGTCTGCGGTGTGCCTCTCTCCGCTTGTCTGCTCCCCCAGGTTTGAAAAATGTTGAAAGCACCTGGGGCCTGGAAAAAAGTCACCCGGAGGGCTCTGGTGACTTTTTTCCGGTTGCCTTTTCGAAGCCTGATGGCGGGCGCTGCCTTCTCCTTGGGAACTGGTTGGAGGCCTCTCGGGGTTTCTTTTCGGCTTCCTGGGGGCCTCTTGGGGCCCTCTTGGGCCATCTTGCGGCCTCCTGGGGTCCCCTTGGGGCCCTCTTAGGGGCCGTCGTGGGTGCCTCTTTGGGCCGTCTTGGGCTCCTGTAGGGCCGTCTGGGGACCATCTGGAGGCACTGTTAGGCCATCTTTGGCCACTCTTGGGGCTGTCTTGACTGTTTCTTGGGCTGTAGTGGGCGCCACAGGACCCGTCCTGGTGCCGTCCGGGGCCATCTTTGGGGCCTCATGGGGGCCTCCTGAGTATTGTCGTCTTGGACGCTTTGAAAGCGGAAAACATGGACATTGCGAAATGCGGGCTCTGTCGGGCGTCTTCTGGGAGCCCACTTGTGGCGTTTTGGGGGCCTCTTGGGCCGTCTGGAGGCTATCTTGAGCGTCTTCGAGCGCTCTTGGACCGTTTCGGAAGCCCTCTTGGACCGTCCTGGGACGTCTTGGGGCTCTGTTGGAGGACTCCGGGGGCGTCTCGGAGCGCTCTTGGGCCATCTTGGAAGCGCACCGGGGCAGGCTGGGCCTCGCAGGGGCCGCTGCCCAAAAGGGGTATCGGACCCCCGCCCTTTTCGCATGCACTTGCCCCTGCAGTGCAGTAAAGATGACGGTGGGCGTCAGGCTCCAGCTTTGCCTCCCGCACTCGCTCAGCAGCGCCAAAGCCATCGACCGGTGCTCGCTCTTCTCGCACGCGCTGGTCCCAACGATGCAGCTGAACAAGCAATGTATCGAACACGGCATGTATTGCATCAGCATCCTGCAACTAGGACATGCACTTCCCTGAATAAAGACAGCACTTGGCTCCATTGCCCACCTTGCTCGCACATGCTGGCTGCAATCCCGTAGACCGTGAAGTCAACGTTCAACTCTCTCAAACGCATGGTTCTGAGCAGGCTCAGCGCCTGTAGCCACTGCCCACCCTTCTCGCACGCGTTAACCCCAGCGCTGTAGCTGATGACGTTGGGTTCCAACTTCACCTTCCGCATCTCGCTCAACAGCAACAGCGCCCGCTGCCACTGCTCGACCTTCTCGCACGCGCTGATCCCAGCGCTGTAGCTGATGACTTTGGGTTCCAGCTTCACCTCCCACATCTCTCTCAACAGCGCCAGCGCCCGCTGCCACTGCCCACCCTTCTCGCACGCGCTGATCCCAGCGTTGTAGCTGACGCCGCTAGGCTCCAGCTTCACTTCCCGCATCTCGCTCAGCAGCGCCAGCGCCCGCTGCCAGTGCTCGCCCTTCTCGCACGCGCTGATCCCAGTGCTGTAGCTGACTAGGGCTGACCCGCGGCCTTCCGGCCGCGGAATCTGCCCGCCATGGCGTGGACGTGGAAGTGGAGCATCTCTGGGGCCTCGCGGGTAAAGGGAGGTTGGAGGGGACGGCGTGGATGGAGGAGGTGGCCGCTGGAGGTGGAGGTGGCCGAGGAGGGATACAGGCAAGCGAGTGATAACTTTATCTGGTAGTGTGGTGGCACTGGGGCCAGTGGGCGCGGTCTAGGAGGCCCACAAAAGGGCGGCGAGACGGCCCAAAAGGTCTCCAGGACGGGCCAAGAGGCTCTGAAGGCCCCACGAACTCCCTAAAACGGGCCCCAGTGCGAGGACACGAATCGATCTTTCGAGCGCACCGCCCCAAGACGTCCCCAACTGGCGCAGAGATGGCTCCCAGAGGGTAGAAGAAGCCCCCAAGACGACGCTGGAAGTTCGACGCTCCCCAGGAGAGAAGCATCCAAGGCCTCTTGGGGGCCGTTTAGGGGCCCTCTTTTCGTCCTCCTGGGAGTCTCTCGGGGCCCTCTTGGGCAGTCTTGAGTGCCTCTTGGGCCGTCTTGGGGCGATTTGGAGCCGACTTGAGCGCCTCTCGGACCATCTTGGGGCCGTCTTGGGGCCATCTTGGGCCGATCTTGGGCGCTCTTGGGGCTGTCTTGGGTGTTTCCGGGGCCGTCCCCGGCGCCTCTGGAGCCGTCCCGGGCGGCCCACAGACCGTCTTGGAGACTGTGCAGACGGAAAGGCTTGGAGACGGGGCGGCAGGGGCCTCTACAGCCGTCTTGGTGTCGCCCTGGGGCCGTTTTGGGCGCCTCGTGGGCTCTCTTGACGCCCTCTCGGGCCGGTTTTCGTGCGTCTTGGGGGCCTCTTGGGCCGTCTTGGGGCGGTCGTGGGCACCTTGAACCAGCTTCTGCGCCATATTCCCGACAAGCAGCGCGTGCTAAAATTGAGCGTTTTTCTGCAGGGAAACAATGATTTTCCCCTCTGGGGGCCATCCTTGGACGCCTCTTGGGCGTCTCTGGGGCCGTCGTGGAGGCCTCCTGGGCCGTCTTGGGTGTGTTTTCGGCGGTCTTGGGCTCTCTTGGAGCGCTCTTGGGCCGTCTTGGGGGTGTCTGGGGCCGTCCTGGGCGCCTCCTGGGAGCCTCTTGGGGCCGCCTGGGGGCCGTGTTGGGCGCCTCTTGGGTCTCTGGACGCTCTCGCGGGCCGGTTTTCGTGCCTCTGGAGGGCCTCTTGGGCCGTCTTGGGGCGGTCGTGGGGGCCTCTTGTCCCATCTTCTGCGCCATATACCCGACAAGCAGTGCGTGCTAAAATTGGACGTTTTTCGTAGGAAAAACAAGTATTTGGGCCTGTGGGGGCCATCCTGGGACGCCTCTTGGGCGTCTCTGGGGCCGTCGTGGAGGCCTCCTGGGCCTTGTCGGGGCCGTTGTCGGCGGTCCGGAGCGCTCTTGGGCCGTTTTGGGGGGGTCTGGGGCCGTCCTGGGGGCCTCTGGGGCCGCGTGAACGCCTCTGGGGGGCCCCGGAGCCGTTGTGGGGCATTTTACGACCATCAAGACAGGGACCCTTCCCGCACGCACGGGTCCCTGCATTGTAGAGAAGACTAGAGCTGACCCGTGGACTCCGTCCACGTCCTGCGGTTGTCGCGGAGGA